CTTTTGCAAGGTTTTGAAAATTACTCTTTCATCTAAAGAATGAAACGGATTGGGTATGTTTACGGTTTAGTATTGGATGTCGAATACAATCTTAAACTATAAATCTCTTATTTTGACTGATTTCTTTATCTTTTGAGTCATATAATCGCGTAATCAAGAATAATCATGGTTCACACATGTACATATCAGCTAGAGACTATGAATACTTGAAATTGAAATCAAGGACCACTATCAATTGAATTAGATGTGAATTTGTAATAATATGCTTCCTGAACTCTCTAATGTACTATGAAGAATATTATAACAATATTATCATGTCATAATTTACAAGGTTAAGTTAAAACAGTTTATTTTCTATTGAGTAATTATTTCCAATTGAGTTCATAAAAAATGTGGTTTGAAAATTAAAATATCACATCATAGATTTCGTCTTTGTAACCAAACTTTTGTTTAATCTCATGTTGGCCTGTATCTAATCATGTAATTACATCAAGGTTTTACTGTCCATAAAACACGCCAGGCTGTGAAGAAATCTTCCTTGCACACTTGCTGTCTTTCGCCCTCTTCGGTCATTTGTGAGTCGTCACTGCTTTTGAATCAATGGACACGCTGAACTCCAGTCAATCTCTCTACCAACCCCATCCTTTCAGAACGTCATAACCGTAAATCCCTACATATTTTCTCTCCATGCTACTTGTTCTTTGCCTACCATGCTACCCTTGGCTTGTGTTAGTTGCTTTGAACCATTGAAAGCCAGACATCTGCACTACACTTCCCTTCAGCATCTCTTGAGACTCTTGACCTTTCCCAAAAGTATACAATTCCATCATTTACCGCTCCCATGTCATAAGTACTCAAATTGTACATTCATTTGGTCGTGTGAGTTCTTCGGAATATCCTACACCCTTTTCTTTCCGATTTAACTTAGTCCTTGTTGATGAACAAGGACTAAGTTCATGCGTAGCCCACATGCCAAGCGCCAGCGATTCGTCTCCATTGGTACAATGTCCTCTTGGGCAAATTAAAATAGACGAATCCAAACGCATGTTTGGTGCGTGCTTGATTTTTTCTTTGCTCATAAATCAACATTTCCCGTCGGTGAAGGAATGGTTCCCCCATGCCTCACGCTATTGTCTTGTCTGTCCGTTCTGCATTTTCCGCCCTTCCGTCAGTCTTCTTCCTTCCCTAGGTTTTATGATGACAAGCCTTCGTCATCAATGTACTTTCTCCTAGTTTGACATTGAATTCTCCTTTCTCTAACAGTAGTACATCTTTCTCTCCTTTTTGAAGCACAACCATCTTCATGTACTTTTTCATCTGGTTGTGCACCCTTGAGTTCCAAAAGTTGTAATTATTGATTGCTCATATTGCCTGAATTATGGAATTCTAGAATGAAACAATAAAGTGTTGTTAAGCCGACTTTCAATCCGCTCTTTTTATAAGAAGGGATTGTATAGATTTTTGACCTGGATTGCTGCTCAATTGAAGGTAACTTCGTACCAAAAGTATTTTTTAGTTCAAGGTAGGGTACAAAACAAAGATAAATGGAATGATTGACAATAAGTTTTGACAGAGTATACCCATATAAGATACTGAGCATCGAAATACAGTGCGGAAAAAGCAAACCTAAGAATATCGAGAGAGTTTTAAAAATCTTGAAAATCCACCACGTTTATTTGAGGACAGCGGGACAGAAAGCTAGAGATAAACATCAAGGCTACGTCCACATGCATGGTCACCAGCACGTAAATCTAGAAAGATGACCACATGCTACAAGAAACATATGATATAAAAGTGAGATGAAAAATTACATATGGTTGTAAGATTGCACAAGACAAAAAGTGTCAAAGAATCCTATATAAAATGTAAATCCTAAGGTCAAACAATTGAATTAAATAACCTTCATAATGAGATGGAATTGATTATGAACATGACTGCATGTAACACATTTGGTAAATCAAAAGTGTTGCTCTTATGTGCAGTAGGGGCAAATATCATTATCTTCATACTGTACACTAAATAATTAGAAAGGGGTTTGTACTATAATAAAGCATAAAGGGTCCTTTAAAGTAAATTGGGATTGGTTCGAATTGCAGAGTAAAAATACAAGCCGCGCAACAGAAGCCATAAAACTCGTAAAATTTAGAATCAATTGGAGCAAGCTCTATATCTTCTCAAGTATAAATCTTCTTGGATGATCTTCATACTGGTTTGATGTCTTTGTACACAATTAACAATTCAAATTAACATTTTCATTCATACTCCTTAGTTTCAATGAGTCATACAACTTGTTTGACAGCTTTTTGCCATAAAACTATTGTTCAAGATTCTTAAGTCATACAACCCGTTTGACAACTCTTTGCAACGAAATTATGGCTCAAAATCCTCAAACAATAGATTATATTTGTCATATTTTCCCACTTGTTTTAGAATCAAAAGTTGAAAATGAACTATGAGAATAAGAGATTGTTACTAGATGTTTGGTTTTTTGCTAGTCTTATTACTTGTAGGTAGATGATTTTTGTCTCAACGTCTTGCAAAGGCTCATGGCTTGTAGCTTGACTTTCACTTTGTTCCTTCAAAGCAGATAGTGATTACGTTCATCATATTTGAGTATGTTGTATTATCTGCTCCTTTAGACTTAGTGGCTACAGCTTGACCTTCATTTGTGTCTTCCAAAGCAAATGATCATCACATTCATTATATTTTAGTATGTTGTATGTCCTACTGCTTTCATTTTGCCTAATACTAGACCTTGTCTTGTGTATAGTTTGATTGAAAATTTCTCCTTTTCCACTCATCTGACAGCTTTTTGCAAAATGGTTTTCTAGATCTGTCTAAAATGAAACTCATTTTCTACCCTATATTTCTATGCAAATGATGTATGTACGCAAGCTGCTATCTTCCGTTTGATATTACAATCTTTATCCAATTTCCAAACGTCGCAATTTAAATAGTAACACTCACGTATTAAACAGACGTTCATAATAACGTCATCTATATCTTTTGATGTTTGTTGGACGTCAACTACATATACAAATCAAGTGATTGTTTAAAGACACGGTTTCCGACAAAACAACTATTAATACAAAGTCAAAACGTACTCATAAAGCATATTCTTAAAGATGACCATAAAATAGAAATTAATCGTTAATTGCATCATCTTTTAGAATGAAAGTGTTGTAACCAATAATTAATTTGTAACTAATTGCACATGACTTCATATAAAAACACGCTCCATATAGAAATGATTTGCAATCTGCAGTCATATGTTCAAGAGACTCTATAAGAGGGGTCTCATTCACTCACTTCTCACATTAGGACATAAATTGAAAAGATATTTAATTTTTGCACATAAGACTGATGAAGATGAGAAGAGCATAAAACTCTTGCTTCATTGCTTTAACACTATTTGCTACTCATTTGACGTAACCAAGCCTTGTCGTTGTACATCTCTCCCCTCTCGGTTGTCTAGTCCTCACAACCTCGTTCGTTTGAAAATTTTTGTAGATTATGGCTCTCATATATATGAAACATACACAAATTGATAAAAAAACACAAAACAGTAATGTAATGCGCCACTCCGAAAAGTCCACCAAAATACAAAATGTTTATTGATCATATATATGATGGATCATATGCTTTCCTACCTAAGTATTCATCAATGACTGTCAGCCAACAAAACTAATCCTATTGCGTTACTCGATAGTCAGTTAAATCTAACAAGATGAAATAGTTATGGTATTAAGGTAATTTTCTATACTAAATTATTCAAAATTATCGTCAAATCTGTCTTGAAAAATTAAATTCATTAATTAAAATTAATTTTGACTTAATTTTGATAACATGAAATGAAATAAATTCCATGTTACTACATATCATTAATTTCTAATCATATGATAGTTAACAAATTAAAATTTATGTATAGTATTTTTTCAATATTTTTATAATTCAAAAATAAATTAATCAATAATTCGACTTCAATTAGTAATCAATTTATTTTAAAGAAAATTTGGATTCAATTCATATCTTGTTTGTCATAGTTAATAATTTTATTACAAGCGAAAATTTGATTTGATTTATTTGGATTAATGGATTAATTTAGATTCAACTAGGTAAAAGAGCTGATGTGAAATGAATTAATGTATACATACATTAACAATTCAATAAAAACAGAAGTTCAACAATTGCAATACAACTTTCTTTGAATGTTTTGGGATAAATTGTATAAAACTAACAATTTTATCTTGAATGTGAAAGGATTAACTTATTGTTTTTTAATATTACATTTCACATCCTTGTTAAGTTGGCTTATTGTAATAATGTGAAATTACAAAGTTAAATTTTGTTTATATGCAATATCTAATTACTTGAGCCAAACTTCTGCAATCTATTTTTATTTTATAACATGGAAACATAATAGAAAGTTAAAAGAGGGAAAGACTATTCATCTAGACTAATCCACCTATCTATCGTGGATTGAGGGATATGGTCACCTTGCAAATTAACGTCGACGATATAGGATATAGTCTGATTTCTTTAAGAAGCCCATGGCACGCCAGTGTGAGCTCCCTCCAAACAACAATAACGAAGCCAGGGGTAATTCTACGATTATCGGCCAATCCTAAAGATCAGAGAAGGCAAACGATCATTTATGAAATGACAGGTTCAAAGCTCTTATCTGAACAATCGTCGTATATATCTTAAGAGGGGAAATGAGGAACTTGCTGCCAGGAAATTTTCGCTTATCCGGTACCGAATGAAGGAAGACTTACAGTACTTACAGGAGGTTTCCTCCTTAGGGAAGATTGTCGTACTGCACTGCGGTGCTTGAGGAATTCATCATTGTGACTTCGTCTGGAGTTCAAACCCGAGCCCAAGATATTCACTTGAAAAAATGAATACGTGCCAGTCTCTTGGTGAACCGCCCAGACGTGACCGTCTTACAGACCACGCAACTCGTATGATTGAGTTCCGAGTTTGCTTCTCCTGTGACCTGGTTGAAACGGTGACAGTCCAAGGATTGAGTTGTTCAGAAGCCTAAAGACCACGTTGGACAAATGTGAAGGCAGCATGTCCGAGACAGCCGTGTGGCAACTGCATGCACCTTCATGCAACCAGCTACGTGGCCACGTGGCTGCAGCCGCCCTGGAAATTGGAGTTGATATATCTCTACAAGTTGCGATCTCCGCAAGACATTCTCGTGTAAACCGATTGCGCATCTGTCAAATCCAATTCAAGTCTATCCGGTGAGTGTCGTTGCGGCGGAGTGACATCGAAAGACCTGTCAAAATGGTGGATGTGGCGGCTCTGATCATTGCTGTGATCCTCTTCGTGATCCTGTCCCCGGGATTGGTGCTCCAGATTCCTGGAGAGGAGAGGCCCGTAGAATTCACCAACAACAGGACGAGCCTGTCATCGATCGTCGTCCATGCGATTGTGTTTGGCATACTGTTCTATTTGTTACAGTTGGCATTTGGAGTTCATGGTGGAACAAAGGTACGATATAAAACCCATATAAGTCGATGGCTTCTTGAAGTAGGCAGGAACAGCAAACGAAGTTCTGCCTTTGCCACATATATCGTCACGCAGTGCGTACTGTACTCCACATAGCTCAGTCCTAGTGAGAAATATACTCAAATTTTATTATTCAGTTCCTTCTCTGTCTTCTAGCACTGACTCCCAAGTCTGTCACTTGCTGCACTGATCTGCACTATTCTACGGTGACATGTGGATTAGTTCTTGGGTTTGCATTTGAATGATTTTTTGATAAGTTTTGAAAATTATATTCGGTAAGTTGTTGTGATTGACGATTAGCTAATTCATTACTCTGTTGTGCTTCTTATCGTCTGATCCAGTAAGTTTACCAGCGGACATCCAGTTCTGCATGTGGAATGATTCGGATAATTTGATGTTGAAATCTTTCGAAGAGGAGCCGGGGAAGCTTGCAGAAAGAGATCTCCGATAGTTGGATTGAAAACAGAGCTCGTTTATATAGTTCTTTCAACTTACAGTGAATATCACTGAAGGTAGAAAAATAGTGGAACAGGGAATGTTATGTGTACAGGTCTGATGTCAAGATGGTGTAATGTAAAAGAACTTTCCTGAGCCATTTTTCTGAAATTTGGATGTGTATATTGTCGTCTGCAATTCGTGCGTTGTTTTCTATGTGTTGGATGGCTAGAGGAAAAACTTCTCGTTGATCTTTCCTGAGAAGAATCTATCTCGTCGATGCGGAAATAAACACAGCGACGTGTGCACGTGAGAAGGACATACTGTGGTTTAAAATCGCAGCAGTCAAGTTTGAATCTGAAGCAATTTTATTCGTACAAGTTTACTCTACCAAGAAGTAGAGAAATGTTGTACATGTGTTAATAAAGAAAGTATGTAAATTTGAGTACGTCGGAAAAATAGAATTAACATCAACAAAATACAATATCTGTGGCTTGTTAATTGACGAATATGTTAAAAAATGGTGGGAAAAACAATCAACTATTTCTAAAACCAAAAAAATAAGGTAAAGAGAAAAAAGTGATTATAAACTATTACAAAAAAATCTTTAAATTTTAAAAATTACAATTTACATAGGGAAATAAAGAAGGTAGAAGACAACTGCGGGAAGAAAATTCTGATGGAAATGAATACGAAAATATATTAAAAAAATCTTTTTTAATAATTATTGGAATAATCCCTTAGCGAAATTATGAAGAAAAAAAGAAGCGTTGATAACGCTTAAATTTCCAAAAAACCAGTTTTGTGAAAACACCAAATCTGAAAAATTCTGCTTGTTTCTAACCGTTACTAAACATAGCTGTTTTTGTAAAACTAAAATCGTAAAGCATAAAGGGAGGGATTAATTACAAGGAAATATGTATACTCTTTGCATCTACTATGACACGGTCAGAACTAGCAGTGGGATCGGGATATCTTAATCCCCTGGAAATTGGAAACCTACCTGCAACTAGAATAATTAAAGAATCTAGGTCAAACAGTTTATGTACCATCAAGTAGTAGTATGAACAGCAAATAAAGACACTATCGTTCTCATATAGAGTACACGAACCCAGTGAATTTTGTAAAAAATTGTAAAACTTGTCTAAAAGACGTCATTTAATAAAATAGAAAAATTGGGTATTCATATTACCTACTTGTAGGGATATCGCACAACAAATTGTGAACAGTGCATAATTTTATATAACTTTCAAGATATGTAGCAGAAAACAGAGATCTCCTCTACATGCTATGCTTGAGAAATTTTGTTGTTCCCATTGCTGTCGCAATGCGTGCGTTGGTATGAGAAGAACTTGGCGCTTGGTTGTAGAGTTGACTTCTCACTAACCTCAATCCAACAATTCAAGTGAATCTTCAAAGATATCTGAACTCATTGAATTTTGAGGTTGTTTATGTCAAAGTAAATCATGTGTTTAAACAGACAAGACGCTGATGGATTGACCTTGAGTGTACATCTAAGTAAACTCCGAAAAAAACAGAATTGCTGTCACAAGCGAAATTCACCATATTTGGAGCATGGAGTTGCATTCAAAATAGTAGACCAACTCTCATCAACCACCACATGTCAATCACAGCTTGCCGAAGGCCTTAAATAGCCCTCTCCTATCCCTATTTGTATCCACCAAAATCCAAACATATCAACGGCAACACCTGCATCTATCCAAACCACCACATTTAACAAGAGCAGAGCCCTCCTTTCAATCACATGTATCTTGCTGCGCATTGCTAGGCTCTCCTTCCGAAGGTTATTGTCGGTCTGCTATTCAGAAGGTAATCGCACGAAATCCATAAAACTTATGAATAAGAAATATATATTATCTTTGATGTCTAGTTTTTCTTTGTTGGGTTTTAGTAGGCTATTCAATAGTTTTTTGCTATCCACGTGGCACTCCCTTTTATTTGGATGGACTGGACTGCGTTTTATTGGCTCCGGGCCGCTTCATGTGACAATAACATAATGGGCTACTGGATTCACACGCTGGAAGTATTTTCTGAGCACTTGGAAATTCTCCCTAGCTTTGTATCTTCCTGCACTCCGTGTGTGTGTCTCACCAGATTCCGCAGCGTACCGTCCGCCCACAAATTAAAGCTAAATAGCATGCTACGTCGATTTCCGACACTCTCACGAAAGAATCCCTTCCCGAAATGTTATATCGCAAGTCTCCCCACTTCGCATGTCCCCACAGCTCCGAGAAACTCCGAACTCTAAGTCTCCGATTTTCTCCCGTTGTGTTGTGATCAGAGCGTTCGTGAAGACGGGGAATCTGTGCCAAATGCGAACATAAAGCATAAACTCGAGTTTTTGCACATGTGCGCTACTGATGAAATAATCGATCGATGTTCCCGAAGAAGAGCCTCTGAGGAAATCAGCCAAAGAGTAGGGCACTACGATAAATTCGGCGATAGCCGCTCGTCGTAACTGTACTAAAAGATATGCCCTACAGGACACGGAGGTTGACAAAAGCTAGTTATGCAAGAAGAAGCGCGAGATTGACAATCGATGACGACACCGATGTGCTCTTGTGGCAATTTGAAGGAAGACTTGTCCGAAATCCGCAATCAGAGGGACGCATTTCATTGTCCATCGGGGGACCGACTTCATAACCGTCTAAAGGCTCTTGTCAGCCCGTAGTGCTTGTGCCCTGACCCTACCAGGCCTGCTGCGCTCTTCGTTTCAGGCCTCTCAGAGGGCCGTCTCATCTTGGCACCTACTAGCTATAATGCACTGTTGCTGACAAGACACGACGGGGAACTGGCTACCCTTTGTACATGCAGATTGTCATACGTCGTGGATCGAAAGAGATCACTTCCCTTCAGATACTGGCAAGGCTCCGCGAAGCCTAGAACTCACACGAAGCGGCTGCCAAGAAACGCATTCTTTTGGAAAAGTTTCACGAGATAATTAAATTTGAGGTCCCGAGAAACAAAGAGCAATTACAATTGTTAGGTGGCGGAATCTTTAGCCTATTTGAAGAATGTGTAGGGTTCTGCACATTTTCTTAAACTCCACTCCGCACGAGATGAGGGATAAGAAAGTCCACCCCGTAAAAGATATTTTCTTCGCAGTTTTCGACGAAGAATCTTTTCCTTGAGTAGGCACTCTGGAGTCGGATGAGACCGGCGAAGGTTTAAATCAGAAGCCAGGAAGGACATCGTAAGTGAAATAAATATTCTCAGTAGCGATTGAGGAAGAAATCCTGCTTGAGTTGCCAATTCGCAGTTAGTTTTTATAAATCAGCGGATATGGGAAAGGAATCCGGGCATGAACATGGCAAAGGGGAGCATGGTCACCACCATGCTCACGGCGGGCACGGGCACAGTCATCATGGGCGACATCACAGCCATTGTACGGGGCCTGAGGATTTTGTTCCCGAAGTTAAAGAGCCAGGTTGCCATCAGCGGGAAGAGCTGCGGGAGAAGAAAAAGTCCCTGGATTTGCAGTGGCGACGAAGTACTATCAAGGTCTCTCCCTGTGTCCACTGCGCGTCCCAAGAGGCTCACGAGCGCGCCAGGAGATACAGAGCCAAAGCCAAATGCTTGGCGCCGGCGGAACTCTTAGTCTGCAGCATGAAGTTGATTGAAAGCTACCGAAAAAAGCGAGAGCCAGGACAGACGCCCAACGTTTACGCCGATATTTGGCTGCCTCTTTACAACGTCGTACATCCTTACGACATCCAAACTATGAAGCAGGCAGGTGATGTTTGACACTTAGTTTGCAAGATGAGTTGACTGAATTTCATGTCTTATTTCCACATTGTGAAAGATGACCACGTTCATGATGTAGCTCATTGACTGACGAAGCATTTTTGCATCTGTGGTAAATTGCAGATTCTCTTTGGATGCGTCAGGTATGAGAGGCTTCTCAGAATATTTCTGGACAGAATGTACGAACAGATTTCTACTCTGACATTCGACGACGAGATGAAATACACTGTTTTGGCGTACCTCGCATTCCTACGCCTGCACGAACTTTCCTGGCCTCAGTATAGGTCAGTGTGCCGACCTCTTCAAAGTCATCCGTGTCTGGAGTAATAGACATGAAAACGGTTTATACGTTTTGTCTCATCGCTTGCCTTCACCCAAACCCAGGTCTTGCAGATAAAGTTGTTCCTTAAGCTCAAACGATAATGATCATTTTTTGTTTTGTATCTCCAGTTTAGAGAAGTGCTTTCACTATCCCACACTTCATAAGTCGAACTTATGAGGGAAAGTTGCCATGATATGCGCTTTATATCATGTTTCAGAGTTTTAAACCAGAGGTCATTGAGTTCCGTTATCATCATTCTTGTGGCATTCACCATCCAGTCGTGTATTCTACTTATCACGCTAGTAAGTGTGTCCCTTGAGAAGCTCAAAAGTATATCGAATCCTCCAACTGACAGTTTTTTCTCATGTTTGTCAGACGGTTGGTGATGAGCCAACCTCCGGGAAGAATGCTACCATTTATGCGTTTCATTTTCAATGAGCGAGAGTTAATAGATCATGTTCAAGCGAGTTGGTGTGCCGTCTATGACATCGAGGTTTTACCTTTTCTTACGTTGTCCTGACTCTCTCGATAGTCTACTCCTAAAAGATGAGATCTAGCTAGTTTTATAGCAATGGGAGCACTTGGGTTAATCTGTTTGGTTATATTATTTATCATTTTGCAAGCTTAGGATTGGTTAATGTATTCAATATTAAGTGAAATTGGTGGAATGCCTCGTATGTTTGAATCAGTTTGTCCGGGATATACTCGAAAGTATACGTTTCTTCTCATCCGAAGCCCAAGAAGTTTGTGAAGCGTAAGAATCTCAACGACGCTATCACCTAGAGATTCTTCTTACACTGCCTTCATAGAAGGATCCATCTCTTAGAAGTAATGCAGATAATTGTTCGGAAGTTTAGATCTGCTGTTCTTCTTAAACCGAGGCATGGAGAGCTTTACATGTCGTACTTTGCAAGCAGGTTAGAGGAAAGGGTGTACGCACCAGATCCCCTCGGGAGATATGTACAACCTCCTACAGTTCCAAAACCATTCAAAATGTCTGTGAGCAAGACCGTTTGCCCCAATTTTGAAGAGTGGGCGCCGGTGAGAAAGAATTTCAATCGCAGTTGTTGTCTATTACAATGTGCCACGGTATATCGCAGCTTAGTGACGTACGGTAGCTAGAGCAGCACATTGTTGTTTCTACCTTTCCATCTCGGTGCTACTAGGCATCTTACATTCGCGATCTTCTATAGGATCTCGTGTCCAAATGATACTGTTTACTTTTCCATTTGACGGCAGAACTTGAGGTACTCGACTAATAATTTTGACAGTGTATTTCCAGCCAGAACCGTTCGAAGCAAGACCGGCTCCGATGTTTGAGAAGGGCAGAACTCTTGAAGTGAAGAGGCTTTCAGCTGTCTTTAAGGAGAACCGACAGATTCTGAAGAAGAAGTATGACGATCCAAAACATCAACCGTTTCGACTTCGCTGTGTGGAGAGACCAACTAACATTGAACAACTCCGGACGGAGGTACTTTTAACAACGCGGGAGATTCGCAAACTATATATGTACGAGACTGTACCATGAGTCTTCCACTCTCTAGTTGGAGCATGGAACATCTCGAGGACCGCAGTCACATACAAGATTCTCTACTAAATCCACAATACTTTCAGTAACGTGGATGCAAGTCCATTTCCTTATCGGTCGTACAATGTTTTTGAGACGATAGAATTAGAGGACGCTATTTAGATTACATTATTGAGGCCAACGTGTTGGTTCTTCCCCATTACGTGCATGAGAAGAAATTGATCATTTCCTTCATCGATGCGAATCTCATGGCAGAGAGTCTTTCCTGTGCAAGCTTTAAAATGATGTGAACCGTATGTAGAGTATCTACATATCTGCATCTAAACGTGTTTTCAGGGAATTCATTTGTTTTGACTACAGTTTAGTTGACTGGATATGTGGCAACTTTCCACAAAAATAGAAATTTCTACGCAGATATAATTGTACTTGAAGACATAAACACATTTTCTGGATCGATTATCTTTCGTTAAGAACACTCAATTGTCTACAAAACCATTGGTAAATGGAATGAGTATCAACGCTGTTCGCAGGTGGAAGAGAAGTTTATTCAAGATCATCATTATATCCCAGCAGAGATAAATCCAGCTCCTGCAATGCCTACTGTTGAGGTGCAATCTTGTATACTGACATTTAAGATGTTCAACTCAACCACTCTGGAAAATTCGAGTGGCTGCATGGATTGATTTTCTTTCACCTAAATACAAAGAGACGTTATTCTGCAAGTCAGGAATTTCCGCGAATAAGCTTTAAAAGCTCAAGATATTCTTGCGATTGAATAGTTGATACCAGTCACTTCATTTAGACAAATTATTGTAACGATGCTGCATGCTATTAGAAAGGCCTAAGCGGAGTAGAAGGTAGATTATTAAAACAAGTGACACATTTACATATTTTAGCCCACAACTCCAAGTGCCAATAGCTTCTGATTCAAGCGTTGGTGATTCAGGTCAAGTTGAACGTTGCAACACTTCTAAGGGAGCATGCATTATTTCAAAAGCAAATGGATCAAGATAAGAAGAAGATTGAGGCATTTGAACTCGAGTTGCGGGATGACTCAGATTTCAAGCTTTGGCAGGTAAGGCCCATAATAATCCTTTCAGCTCCTCTAAAACTTCGTATACTTAAACTAGTAATATGTTCATCGTTTGTGGAAACAATATATGTTTTATATACATCAGACGCTGTATCTCACTCTTTCTGTATCCTTTGCTCGAGCAGGAAGAACAGCGAATGCAGGACGAGGTTGCAGATGCAATAAATATCGAATTCAATAGAAAGAAAGTTATGGCAACAGACCAGGCTGCGATAGAAGCCAAGGAAAAGTATGTAAGTCTCCCATATGTAATCACATATCTCTCGTAGTGTTACGGTAAATCATTTTGCTCATGGCATATGAGTGTTTGCATCAAGATTCTAACCGTGTTCAAAAGTGGATTCAGAGTGTTAACTGAAGTTAAGTCATTAAATCCTCTTCTGTCAGTCGTGACTTTGTCTAAAAACTACCATTAAGATTCATGTATGTGATACAGTATCATGTTTAAGTACTGCGTGCTTTGGTAAATAACAAGTCCTTCCACTTGCATGCCACGGGATCAGGCCTTTCACTACTAGTTCAAGACGCCATGAATGCAGTCTCTGAAAAGCAAGCTTCCTACAATTGCAGCTAGCAGAAAAGATGGAAATTGGAAGAGGAGCAAGGGAAGAAGCAAAAATTAGCCACCTAACAATCCAGCAAGAATCAAAGAACGAGAAGTTTCGCAAGAAGCTCAAACACTTCCTCGTTGTTCAAGATAAGAGAGGGATAAAGGTAAATAGGAAATGTGTAAACGATTCTTGTTGGAGCTTTTGGAATGTGGCTATTATACTTATTTTGCTCATCACACCTGATTATCAACCACAGCAGATAGATCTTCAGGTTCAAAGTATCTTGTTAGAGACCAGCAGTTTTTCTGCAAAGCCACAAAGGATCGATTAAACTTAACGGTTTAAGGCAAAACTTCTACTCTCTCTCCCTCCCTCTCATATGAACGATCAATTGACAAGGGAACAAAGCGGACTTGTCACCTTCTAATTAGTAACAGAAACGCACGAGACAAGACACTTCAACGAGATGTCAAGTTATGATATAACGAGGCGAGGGAAAAGGGGACAGATAGCCAGGGAGAATGTAGCAAAAGCAAGAAAAGCAAACGCATTGGAGGTTCAAGCAGAGTCTGAGGAGCTTTGCGCAAAGAGTACTCTTCAAAAAGCTCAGGAGATGGCTATGAAGCAGGAGCTTGTTCGTCAGCTGAGGGTGACGTCCTTGCTCATCTTCGTTTACAGATCTAATGTTAAAAAATATATTCTCTGAAAGTTGTATGTATTAACTAATTCATATAGGTGAATGACTATAATCTTTTGAAGTTCTCAAGGGATGACGTTGTAATTCTTCATTTCTCATCAGTTGTTGGAAAAACCACATCCTGACCCGCCGTTGCTACTAGGTTTCCAAAAAAAAAGTGGATAGCTTGCAGAAGTTTTATTGCAAATTTCACCAAAACTAAGAGGAACAAAACCATACCATGAACGAGGGCCCCGCATAAAAAGGTTTCCGAAGTATCTAAGGTTTGTGATTGAAATGTCCTTTCTTACTTCTGGATAAGCTCACGTGACTGCAGGCACTAGAAAAGGAGTCTTGCCACATGGAGAAAAAGTTTGATATCTATAGTAGCAGTGGACAAGGGCTGCTACAAGAAATGTCGATAGCTCAACTTCGAACCGAGCTTGTCCTCGTGAAGAGATGGCTACAGCACGAGGAAGATATTAAGCGCCGGAAGATTCATGCTGTCAAAATTGAGGTTGACTTCCAATCTTATATTTTCCTTGACATCTTTCAGTGTGTTGCAAGCCTTTGACTAAGACAGTGAATGACTTGCAGTAGAACTTGGCTAAAGACTTTGCTGATTGTTTTGAAACCCACTCGGGACCTCTAATCGGGTTTGAGTTCCAAGAGCAAAACAGTGAGCTTTAGAATATGACGCATACAGTAGCCATCCTCACATGCAAGTAGATATTATTCACTAGCAGGGTTTCTATGCAGATGCAGAAACCAGGGTTGAGTCTGCAACCAGGTGCAGTCTAACTTCACAGATAATGTTTGCTGGAAAAGACACTAACACGATTGCTATCATTTCTCTTCAGAGGCAAAACATGCTGCTGGAGAGGTCCCGAGTGGTGACTCAAATGAGGCATATTGCCCGTGCACAATGGCTCTCAAAGAAAGCACATGAGAAATTTTATGATAAAACTGAGATTAATCCCGCAGAACAATTGGGGCTTTGATGTAAGACAGGGATTTTAAACTCTTCGATAACTGAAAGTTAGAACTGATGTCTTGATCAGAATAAAGTGTTATATTAGGTGGAATATTCGAGAAAGGTATACTACAATAGCTTGTAGAAACCTCCGCCTTCTAATTATGTAACAGCAACTCCATCTCATAACCTTGAACGTTTTGACGCTTCAGTTGTGGAATCCTTATCAACCTATCGAGCTGAAAGTATTCTTGTCACGTCAAAATTCCTTCTATATTACTGACATATCGTATAAACCACGTGAGATCTAGTTGTAAGGGACAACTCGTGAAAGAGGAAGTGGCTAGGAAAGTGGCCCAGTGTAAAGTAGTGACTCCACAGAAAATTTTTTCAGCAGAAAGTTGAGCAGTTATCAAGAGTTCAGCTGTGGTTGCACTCTCTCCATTTTACCGAGGTAGATTCGGAATACGTAAGTACTTGGTAATCTAGTCCAACTATCAGTGGTTTGTATTACCAAGACTAGATGCGATTTGGGTGGGTTTGTTCCTTGTGTTTCAAGTGGAGTTAAATGTATCTAAAGAAATTAGAAGGCACACGCCAGATCAATCTTACATATTTTAGACTTATTCAAATTCTCATCTTAATTTCAATTTATTCCTCGTCAAAATTCGTTATCCATTTAAAATAATAAAATAATAATCCTATAAGTTATACCATATATTCTCTTTTTCACATGGGTCATTTTCATTCCCTAGAGATTTTTATGATTTCAAGGATTTTTTTAACCTAATATTTTGTTATTTTAAAATTTTGATTAAATGCATATAGTTACTGAATCAATTGATAAATTAATTTCTGTAGATATTATTTAAAAATAATTTTTATTTTATTTGAAGATTTTATTCCATCCATGACGACCTAAATATTGCAACAATTGCACGTGTTAATCAAATCTCAATATATTTATCTACAAGTGAATCCATGTACCAATCCTCCGGGGTTCAACATGGCTTTGAAAATATTTCTTTTGTATTTCTTGAATTTTTCTTCATTTTATATACCCATTTTCTATCAATCAAACTTTGATTCCTTAAAAACTCCAGTAACTTCCATATCTTCGTCACTTGCATCTCCCGTTCCATATAAATATTTTGTACGAGCTTATGTATAGAAGCTTCAGAAATAGCATTCACTACACACTCTAACTCACGTTTCAACAAGTGACTCGGATCACAAGGAAGAAATGAAAATTTATCACACAACTCGGAAAAGCGAGTAAAGTATGCATGGTAAAGTGTGAGAAAGAAAAGTTAACAGCAGCTCACATCTTTATAGAATGGAAATTTAGTGAGTTGAAAAGTACTAATTTGCGAACTTAATGAAACTTGCGTTCGTATTATAAGTTGAAGCCTAAAACCATGAAAGTTTCAAGTGGATAACCTCTGCATCAGATTACACCCGTATGCATACCGTACAATACATATCAGGAACTACCACTGGAAGCAAAAATATGTAACTTCAGTAAACAATGTTCAAAGGTTTTTCACGGACAATGTTTTCAAAAACTCTCGTTAGTCAACACATGTGTTAAGCCGCAAACCACAATTGAATTGACTTGATGATGAGAGAACTCGTAGGCAAAGGCACTCAGGGGGTTGTGAAACTTTATGTAAATAAAATTCTTTCTGCCAACTGTCGTCCCTTACAAGATGTTGCTCCCGCGCAACGTGAGCTTCATTTTCCTAAAGATTTAGGATAGGAGTCCCGAAGAGTAACAGTTCTATTAAAGACCATTTTCTCCGGAGTTGTATCCGTATCAACACAGAAATAACCTGAACACCAAGGACGAAAAAACAAGTACATCCTCTTAACAATAGCATCGAAGCAACAGCATGCTTCAGAAGGCTAACGTTTACAATAATAAGTCGGAGTAAAAGCGTGTATCGAGAACGATTTTTCGTCTGGAATTACAAAACTATAAAAGAAAAGGCAATCTCCGTCCGTTCTGTACATAAGCATACCCTAAAAGACCGGAAAGGAATCTTACCTAGCCTTTCAAACTGGAACTTGCTACCAACTGGTGCGTCCTTCAAAGCCGGAACTGCCAGCGCTGTTGTGATAGTCTCGATCGAATTTGGGTTCAGATCTCCAAGCCAATCCTCGAGTTCAGCAGGGTTCTGTGACAAACATTCAGAAAATTTCTTTTGCGGTCACTTGGCATTCATACAACCCCCTTTCACTCTTCTGCTGTCTGTAAGCTATTTTCCACCTATTCTTTTTATCAATTCCTCTCCAGAAAGTTAGCCCTTGACCATATATGTAAAAATACGATGTCCCCTAATGTCATTATTTCCAACAGAACCAACAAACAGACAACCTTTCAAAAAAACCTCTGATACAATTCACCACATGCACGCAACTCAAAGCAGACTTCAAAAACGTTCCAGACATAGTCTATCTAACATTAACTCGGAGAAGAAAGCCAAATCAGAGGGTTTGACAGTGAGGTGAAAAATTACCTCTGACTTGAATAGCTTGTCAAATAGTCTAATCTCGACATTCAGCGGATTCACACCAGGTGCTGGTTCTGCCACCCAGTGAATAACCTGAAACAAATTCAACAAGTAATTATACTCAACATTTTGTTACAACGAACGTAACATGAAGGCACTTATATTAAAAACGTCCAAAAAATAAGTTTTACAACCTTGGGTTTGGTACTCTTAGCACGATCATACTCAGCATGTATCTCCACAACAGTTTCCTTGTCTTCTCCATAAATAACGTCAGTACACTTGATAGGGTATGCATATCTGGACGGACGAAGTCACACAATTAGAATAACTACCAACTCTTGTCAGCCCCCTTGGAGCCCAGTGTCAGGGCGTCAGAGAAACTGTCAGTGAAAAATAGAAATTAGAAATATTGATTTACAATGTACTAGTTGAAGGCATCAACTTTGACACAAGTTCGAGGGGTGAGAAAGAAGTTAAGTTCTTAAACCTCGATTAACCAGAATTCGTAACGAAATGCATGGATAGAGTAACTAAAGAATAACAGAAATGACATACCTGAGCATCACACTTTTGTTAGGCGCAAGGCCGTAATAATCTTTAGAGTCTTTCAGTCGGAAATCAGATTGTTCAATATATATGACTCGAGAAAACGGTATCTGTTGAAAGCATCACAGCATGCAATTTCTTTGAGAACTGAAGCAAATGTATGATAGAAACTGGTGAAATGAATGAGAAGAAGAAAAAAAAAGACAAGTTTTCACGTTGCGTGAAATCTCACCTTGTAGGTCTCTTTAGCCCGATCGCCTTCCTTTGCCTCGGGCCAAGGTTTAGCTTCTAATTCTTCCACTGTGTTTTCGTCCATGTTTGTAATAACGACCTTCAAAGGTGTGCCAAACCAATGTGAACACATGTGTTTGACGAGCATTTAGGTTGTAACAAGTTCCTTATCGACCTTCACTGTATAACTGCTTCTTAACACAATAATTAATGATGAGAGAATTGGATAATAAACAAAGCACGTATACCAATTTGAGGCAGGTAATCTAGATGTGAACGTACTTACTGTGCACCTACTAGCTCACCTTCAACGGTTTAAGCACCACCAATGAACGAGGTGCGTTCCTGTTCAAGTCGTCCCTCATAAAGTGTTCCAGAAGTTCCGTTCGTATTAGGTTGTCACTGAGAAAAAAACGGATCCAGAAATCAGAGCCACCGCAAATCACATGCATCGGCACACACACATGTATAAAACGCTTTCGAAGATTTCGGAAACGTATTTTGAAACTTCCGTCGGTTTCACCCTCATATCTACCTGCGAGTAATACCAACTCCTCGACAAAAAGCTTGGATTGCTTCTGGAGAAGCACCTCTCCTCCTCAACCCAGCAAGAGTAATAAGACGTGGGTCCTCCCATCCATCGACGTGCTTGTTTGTAACTAATTCATTCAACTGCCAAACATTTTTTCAAAATCAGTTGCAATATCAAAAAGAACAAACATAATACATGCCTCAAATACCCATAGCAAGTATGCCTTACTAAGTTAATATTAAAAATTGTAAAACTTCGAGAACAAAACAAACGACTTTTAAGTAGGAAAATTGAGGAAAAGTCTATCAGCTTAATAAGCAGGACATCCAAATGTTTCTATCGAACAAAAAGAAGAAAAAGCTCCTCCTCATATAAGACAACCATCATCAACTGCAAACTATGGTTCTGTTCGACAGTCCGGCTTGATATTGGCGACATCAGTACGTTGTCACACACCTTCCTTTTAGACATCACGTTGTGAGTGATGTTAAGGCGAGAGTACTCCCAAACATACGGAAGATAAAGATCCAAAGACTCAAGGAGCCAATAGTACGATGCTCGGCGAGACTCAAACTCGAGGGTGCAAAGCTGCGGGAGTTAAGAACGAAGTGAGCAGAAACTTAAACCGACGAAGCAACATTCAGATAGTTTGCCACATGAAGCACATGGTGGAAACTTAGGCAAGCTTATGCACAAAAATAACTTCTTCGTACCAAATAAAGTACAAAGATAAGTTGAGCTTCTTACAGAGTGCGTGATATTCTCCAGGGAATCAACGATACAGTGTGTGTAATCGTAACTAGGATAGATACACCACTTGTCACCGACATGAGGATGAGGAGTAAACTGCAAAATTTAGTGCAAATTCAGTACATCAATCACATCTATGTATGGGGTCTTAGTAATCAAACCGAACTGGACTTGCAATTGCCAACGTTTCGATGAATGGAATTGACTGCATGACGCAAAAATATCAAGATATCATCAAACTCCGAGACATAGATTCATCATCGACCCCACTGCATCTATGATACATACATTCCTTCCAAGAACATAACCTTGGCAAATAAAAGAATTCATCCTGTTGAAACTCAATGTGCCTGTCATATCCTAATGATCATTACTCGGCCCCGTCGCTCGGCGGTGCTAGCATGAAGCGATTTAGTAATGGGAAAGACGAAATAGAAACAGGAAAACGAGAGAAGACTAAACCAGAGTGAAGTAGTAAACACAACCGACAACACTACTCAAAATTGACTAAGCTTATAATGAACCAATTAAAATTAAAAGTTTATGACAAATAAAAAAACACAGGTAAAACTGATAAACTGTAAGACTGAGATCACCTATTTCTGAAATAGAATACTAGACAGAATTATGGTGGCCAAGAAACCCCGGATATTCTATTGAAAAGACGGACGTACCTTGATACGGTAGGCGATGAGGTCACCCATGTTTTTGTTGTCGTTCTTCATATCCTGTTTCATCCTCAGGGTGGCTTTGCCTTCATCAATAAGGCCACGCCTCATGTCGTCAAAAAGTTTTAATGACTCAGAAATGGGGCGATTTCTCCATGGACTATCCTCTTTGTTCAACCTGCTCAGCTTTATCTCCTCTGCTGTCTAAGAGACATTAATTCCGTACCAATTAAATATACTGTTAGTACGAGATGGCAAGTACTTTCTGGAAAACTGACCTTGCTTCATATCTCACTCCTCATCTTCGCATTTTACAACTTGCCGTAGTGCTGACACACACAACATGTTATTTACGACAACGTGTAAGTCTTACCTGGTGATCGACATAAGCACAGTCCCGCTTAATAAGCTCAACTGCAAGGTCATAAAGCTGCTGAAAATAATCGCTGCTGTACGTTATCTGCATTTCGATCATGGAAATACTTTGTTCACAATCCATAGACCGTCACATTCAATTCAAGCCTTCAATCATCAAACTAGTGACAAGTACCAACGACGTCCGTTGATTGAAAGCCATGATATATAAGATGCGATCAAGAAACAAGTACATACCTTGAAGGGTTGCCAGCCAATCCAGTTGATGATCTCCTGGATATGATCAATGTATTCCTTCTTCTCAGCCTCCGGATTTGTATCATCAAATCTGGCAATGTAATCAAACAAAAACACTTAAGAAGACACTCAGTCCTGAAACTTTGAGAAGACCCACTACTATTGGGCAGTTTGACTGCTTCGGCAGTACACTGGGAACTTATAAAAGTTTTCTACATCCTTCGACCATAGTTCGAATCTAGTAGGAGTCTATATATAGCACCTCCTGCCTCAAAGGACGCAGTAAACAACGTCAATACTTTGACGACATTGGAACGACAATGACTGAAAACACATCTCGCTACACGATGTTCCGCTTGATGTATGATACATTATTATGAAAGTATGACCATAAAAGTAAACTTCAACACATTCTGCGGGAATATATCTAGGCAACAGTTTTAGTAGGGTGGTGACAGGAGACCTTAAATAGCAGTTGCCACCTCTATCTTTCGCAAGACCGAAATCAACGTACATCGCCTGTGAACACGAAAGAAACCTTAAATTGTGTAATTTAGCACCCAATCTTAGACAAGCAATACAAGCTAGCCATCAAGAAAGTACTCCTGTTACAAAAATGCCAGAGTTACAAGCAGATACACTGCAATCTTGAAGCACCTGACTGAACGATGTAACAAACATCTCTAGATAACTGAACGAAGATCTGTGCTATGCGCTAATCCAGTCAGTAACCTGTCTCATGAGTCAAGCATCGTCAGAGACCTTTCAAAGTATGTAGAAAATCCGAAGCTTCAGTTCCTCCAAAAAGAACACCATACCTTCGCGTGTCCAATATGAAGATAGCCATTAGGTTCTGGAGGAAATCGAGTGTGAACTTTTTTCCCAGTGACCTCAAGGTGCTTCTCTAATCGTTCTTTGGTATTGTGAGGTCTCCAAATTGAACCATCACTGAAAAATATTTCCGTAAGTACCTGATCAATCAAACCCACGTTAGTACAAGTCAATCAACAAGAGGAAGGTATCGCAATATCAAACTGAACTCCTCAGTATGTGCCTGTCTTAGTCTTAGAATCTACCACGGTAAAGACCATATCACTTAACCCAGAAATTGTCCACCTTACGCCTCTCATCTATACAGAAGCGTCCATTATCAAGATTTGAAACGCTAGAGTGTTGTGGAAGGAATGACTGTGTATACCGCATTGTTTTCTTCAGGAGAAGGGAAAATAGAGAATGGATCAATCTTCGCATTTCCGTCATTCTCCTCGGCTGCGGGTGATACAGCCGTGGTGTCTCCCACCGAAGAAGTCACTTCCTGCATTAGACAACCAGGCCATCAACATGCCGTCCGACTGTTCTACAGTTTCGACTATTTGTACACCTCAACCTTAGCCTGAAAGAGGACAGTCCTACCTCTGACTTTGGATCTGCCCTGGGTTTCTTCTCCTTTTTCCTCACAAGCGGCTTCTCATCTTCGGCAGTCTTTTCTCCCAGCAGTTGTTTCAACTGCGCATCCATCTCCTCCTGCAAGATGAACACTTATTATACCACGTAATCAACCACAGTGGCTTCACAAGGGAACTGAAGAGTACAGACCCGGGAAGATACAAACACAGCAATAGCATCCCTCGATGCGATGTAGCTGACAAGCGATAAAAAAACAGACCAGCAGCATGGCAAACCGTCCAGCTAAAACCAATAGGCAACACTCACAGAGTGTCCAATCCATAAACATGTATGTGAGGGAATTGCGAAAAAGGGAAGCAGGCAGTCACAATCTACGGAGGTTACGTCACAAGTAAAAGACAAAATGAAACATGGTCTGCTAGATGGATAAGCCTCGAATCTGTTCATCCTTAGGCAACGTTCTCACATCAGTGGGTGTGAGGCAAATCCTAAGTAAAATAGAAACTCGTGTTGAATCTAAAGATGTGTCTTGCAAACATACGGAGTCCTGTTGCAGAGGGATTCGTGACTGCTCACCTTGACAACTTTCCCATCGGCCCAAGGCTGCTCTGCGCGGACGTGGCTAAGCAGTATTCCAACTGCAACAAGCATACATTAACAGCTGATTGACCAATAAGGATAAAGAGCTCCCTCAGATGAAAAGGCCTTCCAACAATCGACACTTCTTGGTAGTTGTTGCTTTTATAAGAAGAGTCATTTGAAATATTACCGTTGGCACGGTAACGCTGTTGTAAGAGCATATCTTTTTGCTTCTCAATTACAGCCTTCACAGCAGCTTGAATTTCCTCTTGTGAAACCTCGACACCTGGAACACGGACCAACAAGACAAAATACATGCGAGAGATCAATTTAAAACAAGCAATTTGATATATATATATATATATATATATATATATATATATATATGAGTAACGGAGTTCCCATCATAAAATGAAACACTAAAGAGCCTGGGTCCTAAGGTCTCACACCCATGAGTAGTAACAGTGCGGACATTTGAGGAAATAAAAGTGACTGTTTGAGCTGAAATTGTACCCAAAGCCCACGGAAAAGCACTACAAATATTATCAACCAACAGATATAAGAGTGACAACAACGCAACATGCATTCAGATAGTTCAATCACAACATAAGAAACGCCGCCATATCAGATGAAAGGCCATGCTTCGAGCACGTCTGGTCATGAATAAATTCCTTCCTTGACGTTAACTTGACCATGCACCTGGCCAGAAACTAAAACCAGAAAAGTCTGATCATAGCAAGAATACAAAATCCTTAAAATACGAATGCATTATGAAAGGTTGAATACAAAACCAATACAGGCTTCGACGATAATAATTCGGATGAAATACAAAATAATTTAAAAGATAAAAAAATTGGGCAACAGGAGCAGATCCCGCGGGGACTACAAGACTAGCAATCGGTAGAAATGGGAACAGAAGCGCATAAAACAACACAAAAGGGGTAATATGCATGCATAAAACATCAAGTAACAGACCGCCAAAACACGTGATATAGAGAAACGCACAGCAAGAAAGAGCAAGAAATGAATAACTGAAAGACAAGTGAGGTACAGATTAATCTCTTCCTGCGTCCAGAAGTCCAAGCACTATCAAAAACCGTAAAGTGGTTCGCATCAAACACCAGCACCCCCAACTGGCTTACTATCAGACATACGTATGATCCAACCGGGATCATCATATTGTATGATAGCCGCAAATTACACACGAACGCATCATCAAAAGCTTAAGACCCCATGCAATAAAAGGCAAGAAGAACAAACACTAAACAAAACAGCGGTGGAAGCCTGTGATAGCAGAAGATAAGAGTAACTGCATGCAAATAAAGGATGGGTAATGGCGTGAAGGAGACAGGAAAGCCTGGACGCAAAGAGGAGGATATGGACGATATACAAAGGAAATGAATAAGACTTGAAAAAAATCAACGAAAAATAGAAGAGGAGTATAAGTGCTCTTCAGTTTTCCGTGAGTCCTGAATTTGTTTATCTTAAATCAGCCTCGCAAATCCACCCGACTTACCCGACCTATACTCGTAGATCGTCAATAGTGGTCTTTTCGTTTACTTAAGCCCAGATATGTAATTCTCAACCTTACAACAAGCTTAAGGTTACAAAAAACTGTGCTGTAAGCCACCTGGGAGAAAACTTGAATAGAATTAGATGTATGCAGCAGAGCAAAATCAATGTGGAGCTGAGAAATTGCATGGTTTTAGGAAAGTAGAGAGGGTTTCTCGGCCGTTACCAACACCACACGCTGACTCAAACTCGGCGAGGTTGTAAGGTTCGGGTCCAAATTTAGAAAGAAAACCGAAGGCAGCCTCAACTTGTGGAATGCTTTTGATCTGCAAGTAGAGGAATGAAAGAGTAAACAAGCTGATATCCAGTTATGTACGCATATGTCAAGAGACAGAGCATATGCCTGTAACGAGAAGCCAAATCCTGAGGTTCTCTCACCTTCCCCGCCGTAACATACTGCAACAACGTCGGCCGATGGTTCAAAGCGTTGTTGGGGAATTTCGTAGCTATCTGCAAGTGAGCATTCACGTTATATAAGTATATCTAGAATCTAGACTTCTAATGTGCTCGCTGATCTTCTCTAAGGTTCCTCGAATGTACTTCACAATTGGCGCAATCGCTCGGTTGTCAACTTGGGCATTAAGTGGCACTCGTTCGCAATAACTTAGATATTGGATCGTCTTGGGGCCTCCTCACAACCTAGGCTAGCCTGTGTCGTTGATCCAGTGAAACTTCTATAAACTCTCTAAACGCCTCGACGATCTCCGTTGTCAGTGAGATTCGAGATTCAAGACAAAGATTGTTGTAAATCATTCTTGGTGATGAGATCAATGGCAGGTCATTGAACTGAAGGCCTGAGGCTACTATGGCCCCCAACAATTGCAAGCCCGGAACTGTATGCATGCTTACAGAACGATCAGTACCACATGCAGGCTTCTTACAAAAGCCAGATCATTGTGTATAATGTGCTTGTAAAGCTGGACTTCCTTCTTCCATGTCAATATTGGCTTGCAAAGCTGAAGCTGAAATATGAGCATCAACTGTCCTCCAGTCAGTGGTGTACAACGATGAAACTTTTGGCTGGAAGAAAGAATGATCCAATTTGAGAGATTGATACAGGCTATCTCAGCACTTAGTGCAAAGTAATGCCTCCTGACTGTTCCCGTTGTTCAATAACTATTTTTGTTATTGAACAACAAACGTAGGTTTTACAAACGGCAGAGTCAAAAGTGGCCCATATGGAGTATACATTTTTTAGGTTCTTACGACACTTTTGTCAGGACGAAACGAACGATAAGACGTATGCCTGCAATTTGCGAGGTAGAGTAGAAAGCCTCATCCACTCTGGCATCTCTTGATGCCCAGTTCCAATTCTGGAATGCAGGTTCTTCAGCTTATTCAACGACAACCGCACACACGAATGCTGATTAGAATCATCTTCATTTGAAGGTAACATCAGTGTCAACCCGATCGTCCCAGGAAATGTAAACTTTCTAAAAGCCTAATCCCCTGTTTCTGACCGTTTCTACGTGAGCAGGACTAGATTTCAATCCCGAATTGCCTGATTTACCTTCAGTCAGACCCCTGGACTGACTGAAGGGACAATTATAGCTAGTTATTCGCTTAAGCCTCTGTTGATAACAGGCTGGGTATTTAAACTCGCACTTACAGCTCCATCGGATGTATTCCGTCCTCGTTACTAATCTCTCAATGGTTGGAAAGACCTGACTTCTAATGGCGAATGAATGCAGGGTGTCATATGTGACATTTCCTGGTAACAAAAAGGTTTCAACTATCAAAAAAGAAGCTACAAGAAAAAATAGTGGCTCAACTTCACGATGAGGCGTTCTCCTTCCTCTCTGATTCTAGACTAATGTACTCGAGCTGTTTCCTACCGTATCGACAAGGATGATGTCGCGAGTACCAGATAAATAAAGAACTTGTTTGCGACCATCCTCAAGACGAACTGCCAGGGAATGGAATGCGGATGCCCGAACAGACTGATACTTTCTTGACAGCTGTCTCGATGGTAATTGTGGAGGATCGAGACGAGAATACAAATTTCACGATAACGCAGGGTTGGTATCGGAGGTTATGTTGAAGACAGGATCGAAAATCTCACCGAGTAGAGTAAGTTCCCCACAGACCTTCCACATCCTTCTTGCAGTCCAGCCTGCAGCACATACAGCTCAAATTATGACTCAGAACTCAGAGCCCACGAGCCTTAAGCTACAAGGTGAATCGATGAGCTAAACTTGGGTAAATTTATGTACCTCGACAATGACAGCAATAAGATTAGCCGTGACCTTCGGATTGGCCACAGCATTTTGCGCTGTTTTGTCCTCCAATCCAATTTTCAGAAAGAGCTCTTTCGCCTCTGCATTCTTCTTCTCCTTACCATTTTCCTCCACAGGAGCTGGCATTTTGGTTGTGACTGACTCAACAAGGACAAACGAAATGCTTCCACTCGCTCACTCGGAGAAACTACAGTCGACACGATTAAAAATCTCGTCTATTGCAATCTCTCTTGACAGGACGAGCTCTCGATTAAAGGGAGTTGCGGAGAGAAATCAAAGTCCGCGCCTCAAGACTGCAACGCACTTTTCAGAGCAGAGAGTTGAATATGAACGGCTGAGTGCAGATTCTAGGCCTCTGCAAAATCCTTGAACTAAACCCTGCATCTGGGACCCCAGACGGGAACAGATCACCGGCGAACACCTTGGAAAGTGTTTCCGTCTACGGCAAGGCGTGGTACAGTTCAGGCGCTGATATTCCCGAAATGTGGACTGTGACCGAGGCACTTCCGGCCAGCCGCATTCCGCGCTGCAATCTCAGTCTCGACCTTCTCGACGCAAATCTTCACGGCATACGCTTAGGGTACAAAATGGACGAACAGTTCAACGGAGTTCGCCGGGTCGTTTTAACTATTGAGAAATAATGAAATTTTATCACTCTCAACATAATTTAGAATAATATTTTACTTTTATTTGGATTTTTATGTATATAAGATATATACACATATATTAAGTATGAATGTCATATGGAAAAATCTATACATATTACATTCCAAGCGGGACTGATCATTCATACATTAGTTTCACATTTATTCTAAAATGAATTTATTCTTGTATTCTGATATGAGAGAATCTCCTGGACCTGTTAAATACGAGTTCATCAGCGTGACATGATGACAACCCTGTTATCATTGAAAGGTACTTTAATGCATGTTACGTATGTTTTGTGAAGTTCGAAAATTCTGTATCTACTCCAAGACATAGTAGATGAAAATGATGATCTATACTCAACCCGAAAAAGTCGTCAAGTTCGGTCTAAATTCTCACTTTTCAAAGTAATCATTTATGATGGTGTGTACAAGATGGAAAGTAATTACATTGATAACTACATCAAGCTTAGATGCAAACGTTACGTAATGAAATTGAACTTTGAAGGATATGAAAGAATTAGAATCTTCACATCAAAGTAGATCTTCTGTACGGAATTCGTTTGAAATTGGATTCATGGTTTTGGGCATAGATTAACATAACTTCAAAAACAAAGTTCCTATATTTCACAACCAAAATTTCTTAAGTAAAAGGTAGAAGAGTTTAGGAGATATAATTACTTTATGGTTCACGAATATGAAAGAGAAGATAAGGAGAGATGGATTGCTGCCGGTATATGGTTGGAATTTTTTCATGTAGAACAACTATTATTACCACTTCAAAGCTTTATGAGAACCTGACATGATGTTTAGAATTGTTTATGTCGAATTGATAGAATATGATTGTCAAATTTTGAAAGATATATCTTCAAATTAATTTTGCATAGCTCTTATATATAGCATAAATCAGCGCTAATTTGAAATACTAAAATTGATCCAAAGATCAATGAAGTAGATATTATAAAACGTGAGGATTTTCAAGTACTAATTAATATTGGATATAGATTATTCAGTTCTTCGATGGTTCATGGTAATAGAAAGTTTAAGCATTCAAGAATATATCAAGATTAGTGAAAATATCAACCATAAAATATGTCTGTCTTGAGATCATGTATATGAAAGAAGCGTCAAGTTTTACACCACCAAAAAGGTCAGATGCACTCACATATGTAAACACAAAACTGCACAGACACATACACACCGTCTATGGTGGGAAACAGCCAACATGCGTGGTTTATTCTGACGAGCTACGTCCATAGAATATCTCAAGTTTTATTGATAAATCCTAAAAAAAGTAACTGGAGAGCTTTCGTGACATCTTTTATATAATTAGATTTTGATTCATTTTACCAATCAATTGTATCAGGCTAAGCTAAGTTACAAGAAGACTCGAATAAACTCATGATAACTTCTCCCTTAACTCATGTAGTGAGACCGTGAATGCTAAAACCTATATAAATACTTTAAAATAAATCCTATAAAGAAACCTAATATAGATCACTCTTTAAACTAAAGTTGAGTGGATCTAAGCCCAAGTATAAACATGATAGGAAAAAAAAATGCATACTTCTTTAGATTCAGCAATGTTAAACTTGTCAAACTTATGAATGTACTTGATTTGATTGAAACATATCATTTTGTTCTTCGCATTCCTTTTAGCATCCATCTCTAATATTCTCTTGTTGAATTTATCTGAATCTTTCGTCTAGAATGTAGATTTCAATTGATTCTTACCTCTATCACTCTCCAATTCATTTTTTGGTGAAAATAAACATGTCATCCATGTATAATAGTATAATGAGGTTAAAGATCTCATTATCCACATATACACATAAAAGTAATAATTTTGAATATAATATTTGTGTGAAGATATGAATGCATGACATGTTCGTAACATTCGGCCATTAAATATTCATGTTTATATGCTACACTCTTCTTTATTATTATTAACTCATCCACTCATCTACTCCAAATGGTTAGCTTTTGACATGGGTTCTTATCACATTTTTTTGATTCATATGTAACGAAAATGATTGGGATAAATTCATTTACAAATGTTGTAATATATAAGATGAATGACTTGTATTTAAAGTGATTTTTTTCTCATTATTTATCATCATTTATACTATATGCTTACAATCTACTGGTATATCTATCTCAACATTCATTACACTGTTGTTATTGATCTTACTCTTTTAATATTATGAAGGTTAATATAATTCGACTTGTTCTACAATGACTTAAACTCTTGTATATTCTTTTGAACCGTGTACTATTGTTTTCCATCTTGCTCACATATGCTTTTCAAATTCAAGTTATTCATTTGTGATTCCAAGAACAATACAACCTAACAGACAAACTCAATCACTTGATGACTATTCACAATACAAGAAAATAATTGTACAGAGATAAAGTTCTCTACATCTCAAGAAGGATGATTATCTCTTGTGAATGGTACATTTTGCACCTTTCATCATGATAAATCTATATGGTAAATGACATTTGAATCCGAATCCCACAAGTCACGAATAAAAACTACCCACACTTTTAGAAGGTCCGCAAAGAGAATTGTGTGTTATACAATTGGTTCTGCAGAGATCTTTAATAGATGTTGCCTCTTTCACACAAACAACCAATACTCTTTGTATAAACTACTACATTACCCAACTCCATATGGACTTCTTAAGACAACATTTCCTTGTATTTCCTGATGCATATATATATGTATATATATATATATATATATATATATTGATTGTTTGACCTAACTTATTATGAAACTTTGGTTGGGACATCACATTGATACCATTGTTTTGAATTGGGGCAGAATCCATCCTAGCAGCTTGGTTAGATCAATATAGGCTTTTCCGGGATCTTCCCATGGAAGCCATTTGTGTAACTTCCCCTTTAGGAAGAGGGTTTAGGGTTTAGAGAGACTTTCCATATTCCAAAGAGAGACTTACATTACAGTAAGAGAAGTCGAATGATCTTCTCTCAACCTCAAGATGGTAAGCGGTGCGGGAATGTTCATACATAGCCTAGATTAAGAGGAGATGAAACGCATTTATTTTGAAATGATTACATTGCAGTAAAAATGTGAATATAGAAAAAATCCATGTATTTAAAAAGTTTGAAAAGCACAACAACAACATGTGAGAGATTCGTCGACTCAGCAGCAGCGTGCTTAGTCATTGATTTTCTGAATCATCCTTAACCCAATTGAGAGATTTTCATTTTATTACAAAAACTACCTATCAGCTGTTTCTCCATATAAAACTAGTCAATAGATCAATGTCGGCAACATTACAATTTTGAAGGAACAGGGTACCATCCCCACTTGTCATCCGAAATGTAGCGTGTAATTTGTTTCACTGAGAGATAATTTTCTAGACCCCTGCAAGCATGAAACACACACAAATTAACAAATATAACATACTAACCAAGGCCTGTGGCCAGAAATGCTTCATCTCTACATCAGTTATTTTACAAGCTTCATAGAATTTTGAGAACTCGCTCATCCAGCGGAATTCTTTACGGAAATTGAAAGTAAAAGTATTAAACGTGCTCAATCATGGCAGCTTGCATGTGTATTGGAACAGGAAACGATCTATGGCAGATGCGGGCAAATTACCATTCTCCCAACTCGCGGCCAAAACCGCTTCGCTTGTTACCGCCCCATGGAGCTTGAGAGAAGCAAGGCTGAGAACAGTTGATCCAGACAATGCCTGCCTGTAATAACTGTTGATAACATAATAACAACTCGTTAGCCACATTCTCTGATGGCCAGACAATACATCAAAAATATTGTGAGTGCAAGATGGGCACGATTCTGTACCTCGGACACGCGCTTGCATCGTTCATCGTCCTTAGAGATGACAGCCCCACCTAAACCATACCTGCACATATGACCAATGGTGTGTTAGCCGAAGAATCCTTGTCAATCACAATCATATTCCATGCGAGATAACCTACACCTCAGGGGATGTCAATCAAATTTTTTCTGCTTTGGTTTATCCTCTCCCTCCATGTAAGCCAAGATAGGTCTCCCTACTTCTTACTTCACCTAATCCGCTCAGCCAGGACGTTTGCCTTAAGGGTACGATTGACAAGTATCATTGAGTAGAGTATTCTGCACCTGCATACTAGTTGAACTACACTCTGAATGAAATAGGGGTTTAGCAGACTTACTCTGTGTCATTAGCTAGCTCAATAGCCTCCTCCTCAGTTTTGAATGTTGTAACTGTCAAAACCGGACCAAAAACCTCTTCCCTCCAAATTTGCATAGACGGTTTTACATCTGATAGAACAGTAGCTTCGACGAAGTATCCTTTCTCCATATTCTGAGGCAGAAGCACATGATTCACTGGTTTTGAAGTAGTATTCCCAAAGTTTGACATAACTTTAGCATCTACAACTGGAAGTTGCGAAGTAACTTAAACCATACTTACAGCAGGCCGTTTTCCACCGCACACAAGATTTGCACCTTCTTCTTGAGCTACTTTGATGTAGTTCATGACTTTCTTGTACTGCATAAGACATAGGCGAACGCAATTTACAGTGCATTTGAGCTTTAGCCCTCGTCTGCAAGAAAAAAGGTTGTGATCTTAATCCGATACTAACTATACATACTCTGCACGGATCAGATTAGCTATCAGAGGTTTCGTATACGGATGTCTTACACCAGATTTACTTAAGTCTATGTTTAAATCTACACTTAAGTTCAGGAAAAGCCACAATATATTTCAAACAAGAACTAGAGGTAACGGGTTGGAGAGGAGTTTCCCATCAAGTTCCGTTCCCGTCCAACTGTATACGTCGGCTTCAATCAAACCTTGCCATTCCAAACTCTTAGGTATTCTTGTTGTGGGAACACTCATATAATTAAGCTCCATTTACTGAATAAAGACGTCACATTAAAATCTCGGATTTGCAATAATCCCTTTGAAGTCGTTCAAATAGAGAACAAAGGGGCTGGTTACATCTCAATAAAACCGTATACACCAATATAAGTAGAAAATAATGCAACACACCTGTGAATCACTGACTAGAGGCCCGAGGCGGCAGTCCTTCTCCAGAGGATCGCTGATTTTGATACTTGACGCCCAAGTAGCCAATTTTCTCAAAAATTCAGAGGCAATACCCTCCTGAAGAACAATCCATATCCAGCAACCAGATTATTAGAATAATATATTTGAATATACTACTGTTACTATTTGTTAACTTGAGAGCTTACAAGCTTCTTCTGTACTCGTGTACACTTGAACACACACAAGAGCAATAGGCATGAAGTTCAACTGTTCAAAAGACATACTTTCTTGTAGACCTCTCCGGTCATAAAACAGTCAGCATTGCTTCCATTTTTCCAGTCACCTTTATTACGGTAGACATCCTCATTCTTATTTGAACTTTTTTCATAAATATAAGTTCAAAATGCACTCCTGTTGTAAACTTTCTGTAAACATTGTCAGCTCAAGAAAAGAGATATCTACTCTGAAGGGTCCACTACACGAAGACATACCTGTAGGAGTAAGCGAGACGTAGCACTACAGATTTGACCATTGGTCCAGAAAGCCCCAAACATGGCCCACTCCACCGCTGCGGAATCACAAAGTGCATATAGAAGATTATTAACTACCCACCGAACAGCACTTGGTGATAGTTTCCCAAGAAAAGTAACCATCAAAAGGACTCCATCTACTATGTTTTCTTCTTAGATCAGAAGAGCAGCTCGAGACATACTCAAGTAAGCTTGCAGTTCGACTGAGATTGATCAGGGAATATGATGAAATGTTGTAGAACGAGTAACCATTGACGACCCCATAAACAAAACCTTTAAAAAAATGACATTAATTTATGCCTGAATCTTGCAATCTGACAATATTGTGTAGCAAGACTCATCTGTTTGAGAGACGGTATGGACAGTACAACTATATCGTCTGTAAACTTGCAGGTATATAAACTTGAGGGAAGGAAAGTAAAGTACCACTATCGACATCTGCGTCGTCAAATATAATGATTGGACTCTTTCCCCCAAGTTCCAGTGTTACAGGCTGCAATCACCGAGTCTATCAATCTTAGTGGCTAGTCTGTAAAAGAAGTAATGACTTTCGCTGACACATCCGGCTCCATTGAGATATACAGAGCAATCTCAAAAGGATATACGTAGAACACAGCAATATATCAGCTATTTCTTTATGGTCATTATCACTGTGTTCCACTCGCAATTTAGAGAACCTCATGTTATGGAGGAAATTTGATGGACGCACATTCATTTGTGAATCTTTGACTGAGAGCATCACCAGTTCATCATGAAGTCCCGATACTGATGTCAAGGAAAGAGAAAGGAAGCTGAGTCCTAAACAGATACGTGAATAGTGTAAAGGCATGCCTTTATGTTCTGCGCCGCTGCTGTCATTATCGATTTTCCAGTGTTTGTGCTTCCTGTAAAGGCAACCTGCGCCACAAGAGGAGGTCAAATGCGTTTCATTTCCCCAAAAAAAACTCCGGAAGGCGCTGAGAATGGAGCAGCATTGTCTCCTCTTTGAGTTTAGGAGTTAAAACCAATTGCGTTCACCTTATCAACACCTTGATGAGATGACAGAGGAGCGCCGGCAGCGGTGCCCAAACCAGTGATTATATTAAGAACGCCAGGAGGAAGCCCTACTTCTTTAGCAATTGCTCCCAATTCTAAACATGTGCTGCAGAAAACCACTGTCGTCAGCACTTAACGAACCGAAGAAGTGACATTTGGTACTGCTTCTGCACTAGTTGGACAATCCAGCCTGCAGAAATTAGCCTACAGTTAATATTGAAGGAAGTGTTTGGGGCTAGACCACACAGAGGCCTAACTTTGTTTCCCTTTTCTTACAACTATCGTTACACATCCCTACCACAAAGCAAAAGAAGTCCACAAAGCAAGAGGACTGAATAACCCACACAGATGCCATCTCTGAAGGCTTCAAGATAGCTGTGCATCCTGCTGCAAGGGCTGCAGCAACCTTCCAAGTTGCCATCAATAACGGATAGTTCCTGGAGATAAGAATAAGTCAACACCAGTAAATATATCGATATAAAAAGTGTATAATTCATCGACACATAACGAAATTCAACTAAAGAGTGATCTTTCTGAAGAAGTACCAAATCCAAAAATTAAATTGCATGTCTCGCAAGCCCAATCGTAGAAAAAGTGGTCACAGAATCAATTACTCCCGGGTTGCCACTTCCGAGTACAATGAGTTTGATAGAGCAAAGAACAATCTTGTGACACTAAAACATTGTAAGGGTAAGAAAAAAAACCATGGTGTGATAAGAGCCACAACCCCCAGAGCTTCTCGCAGAATGCTACTTTTAAATTGCTCCATTGGAAGTTCAATCGGAGAATATTGCCTCTCGTCTAGCTTCTCTGCAAGGTCCGCGTAATACTCAAAACAACCTGACACGTCATCCTGAAACCACAAAAACACATGTTACAGCCGGAAACAATTTGCTTGCATCCCAACAAGATCTTTTTTCTGGGCACAGAACAGTCCAAATTTCACGCCAATCTTCACAAAGTACCGACAATTCAAAACCGATAACAGTTACACACATTTCAGAGATAACTTTGGGCTCTTGAGGCACTCATGATAACACTATCTGACAGAGACTTAGCTTTTCACTACTCCGTACGAAAACCCATATGCTCAATACGTTCTTACACAGCACTATATAATCATGTTGAAATAATTCTCAACAAGATGCGATAACTTCTAACAATGAGAAAAAATTCACCATGCGAAAGCCAGAGGTTCCAGGTTATCTGAATTCAGTGAAAAGCATACACCTCGAAAGCGAAGCATTTGTAATCCAAATCTGTACAGGTCAGACCAACAGTTTCCAATCGACATGATAATACCAATATGACCGACCCTAGCACGTAGTTACCTGTATTTCCTCAAGTGCCAGAGAGAATGTTAAGGGCAAAGAGCTGCAAAGAGTAGCAATCTCGCTTCCAGACTTTCTATCTTTGCTTATACGTTACGTACCATGTCCCAATTAGCTTCGTCAATTGGCTTGCCACAATCCAAAGATTCAAACCTTGCCAGCTCCTCCTTGCGCTCCAGCACCTGCAATTGGGTGAGAAATCTTCAATTGATTGTTTAAGCTATCACTAAGGCAGTTCATCTACACTATAAAATTAAAAACATCGTACTCCGATCTGAACTTTGGTAGATGATCTTGACCCGTGAGCCTTGATACGAATTCTCTTGAACTACTCTAATCAGAAAGCGATGTTTCCATATCATTTGCACATGATGTGGAAAGCTCTGGCTATGGTGATAGCCTTGGCTGGAGGCCCCAAAAAAACCACCGCTCCATGCAGATGCACGCATTTCAAAAATGTGAAAATATGATAAAAAATCCTGTAGTAAATACAAATTTTTTCTGAAGGTATACATTCGATACATACAAGGATAGACTCGGTACGGACCTTGGCAGCGATTGCTCGCAAGTACTTAGCTCGGTGCTTTCCTGAAGCACGCGACCAATCTTGACCTTTGTTACGTGCAAAGGCTTCACGAGCCGCCTTGACGGCGATATCCACATCCTCAGTAGTTGCAGCAGGTATGTCCCCTGAATATCATAGTGACATTTACAAGGCTTATAGACACCCGTAGAGCTGGAAGCTAATCATTTACAAACACACTTCAATCGTTCCTCTGGTCAGCTTTACGTCTGCGATCTCTTCTAATATTGCTGCCATCTATTCGACGATGTTCAGAGCCCCGTCATTAACAGACATATCTAAACTTGCCACCAAATACATGGACTTGGATCAGGATTAAATATTAGATACAAACATAAGCTGATCTTACGCACTTAACAACCGATCTGTTTGGTGCACCTTATCAGATGATGAGGCTTCGCAATCGACAGGTATGTCTCTCACAATGAGTATTAGCAGCCAAACCAAAGAATGATCAGCCCAAACCTACTGAAACAAAAGCAAGCATCGGGTTATTTCCAACTGCGGATGTTAGAAGTGCAGTCCAATTCCCTTCTCTACGACTTCGATTAGAGACGATCTTGAAATGAGGGCGGCTCATTCTACTGATTGCGATGAATGCGGAACTTTACCAATTTGAAGTTCTGTAGTTGGACAGATGACAGGAATTCTTTCACCCCTCACTGGAACGACCCATTCGCCGCCGATGAAGAGTTGTCTGGATGGAATTCCAGGAGCCATGATTTGATTCCACGAGCAGATAAACTCGTGGATGTTCAATTTCTCTCCGCCCGTGCCACCAGCAGCGCTCGGCACTTCCTTTCCCGGATTGCAGGTCCTCGTGCACCAACTTTCGCCCGTCTGAATTTCTCGTCGACAACTACAGTCAGGAATGGGATCGGTGTCCGAATGAATAGCACAAGCATACACTCAGCTTCGACTGCTGTCGCTTCTCATATCGACGGCTGTATGGCTAGCTGTCGACAACACGACGGAGTCCAGCTGCAGCCTTCTTAAACTAAACTCGATGGAGTCATCCCTACCGTCTAACCCCAAGAAAACAAAAAGACGTACAGGACGTGCAATAAGAGAACACTGACTGCGACGAGACATGAGGCAGGAACTGCGCGTTACACCCTTCGCGATGATGTGGTTGAGATTGGATGGCGTGCTTTATCAAGTAACTAAATACAATGGCTAGAGTCACAACGATATCACACGGAACAACCGAAGGTGTAGCACTGGCATCAAAACGAAGAATTACTTCTACATATGGTTTGAAGAACATTTGAAGAATTATGTCTTAACTCGTGATACCAATTAAGTCTAAAGGTGTAGCAATAGATTGCCTTTGCATGGAAATAGTTTCTCATTGAATACCCGTATTCAAATCTACGATATATTCGACTATCTATTATATATGCCCTTCGTCAATCGAGATAATATGGATGAATGAATACCCATTAATAAATGGTAAATCGTAGATAGATAAGCACGTGGACATAAAGCGTCAAAAGCTAAAAAAACATAATACAAACAATCCAACCCCAAACATATGTTTAATATGGAGTTAAAGTGTATTCCTTTTTGTTATACAGCATATCATCTACACTTTTAGTCCCATTAGCTAAACATGCGTCACTTCGCGAAGAAGTCGTTAGTAATGAGAATTCCAGATCCTTCTGTTTTAACTGGTTAAGATATAGGAATTGTCAAAATACGCCTTAAAGATCAATGGTCTACTATGGCATTGTTGGGTGGGTTTCCTATGATTGGAAATAATAGTTCATGATGCGGAAACAGCTAATGAAATACATTTTAATTATAGGAGGATGAGTGATACTCTCTAAAACAATTTTACATCTTGAATATGTTATCATGACATCTGCAGTAAAATTACGAATCCTCGTAACTAAACTGACTGAATCGAAGTTGAGTGCAAAACATACCGATGTTACTTCTACGAGAGACAGCACCTTCTCATGGATACAGTATTGTATTCTAGCTTTGGAATAGATTCCTACATATAAATTAGTACTTTAGAACTAGGTACATAGGTGTAGGTGTGATATTACAGAAACTGCAAATGAGTATTCAAAATATAAATGTATGGACGAAGTCAAATTATAATGTCATATTTTTGAATAAGGTGTTAGATGTAAATTGGAAAGCTAACATGTATGGCGAAGGCCAAAATTCACAAATCTCTATACTTGGTTGAACAAATAGATTAAATGAGAAATAACAATATTGAAAAATGTTCAGATTCGATAAAAGTTAGTGTACATTATGTTGGAATTATTGGTCCATTAGTCGAATTGCATGTCTCTAGGCAGATCAAGGGATAAAAATTAGAAAGATAAGAGCTCATGTCGGGACTATGAGGACCGAGCATATATAGCCTATCATGATTTTTTTAAAGAATAAATGATAAAATCCATTTCTCTTGCATATATCTAAAGGATCGGTTTCTAATTATAGTTCAAAAGAGCGACCATCTCCAAGCCTACCAATTATGATTCTCTAAGCTGTTTGTGATTAGTGCACAGCAGAAGGCTCATCTTAGATGTCATCAAGTACAGTACAGTGCATGTCCGAGATGAGGTCAAAAAGCTCGCAATCTACGATTGCACAAGTTCCAACCTGGTGACGAGATCAGTAATGATTCCCATGACATAATGGATATTATAAAGGTTTCATCCTCGAAATTAAAGACAAAAAGGAATGAAGACTTTGGAGAAGTAGCTTGAAGAGTTTGAGGACGCTTGCTCGTAACTGAGCATGCGAAATTGCTAGTTGTTGCAGTGCAACTCACCACACGCGAATCTGGTGTAACCAGATGAACACAACATTGCGGTGCGCTATCCATTTCAGCTACCAACCACAGCTGTCTACATAAAACCTCGATATGACCCATACAAGAACAATACTCCTTATTTTAGAGGTTTTCTCCATGTGGGAGCAAAACTTGGATTGTATCACCAGAAAGGTATGTTGAAAAGTTGTTTTCAAATGTGGGTCGATAGCAAACCCACGTGGAGAGAATGAGTCCAACTGAATCAGTACGAATGGTGCAGAACCTACCGTCAAATGAATGTATGGATTGGACAGAGAATAACAGAGTCTGAAAAGTACATGTACTCATTAAATTGTTGTCAGTCATCCTGACGATAGAAGAAGAGTTGTGACCTGATGAACAGACAGACCTCCCACTCACAAAAGCCCATGAATCCACTCACTGTATTCCTCCATCGTTAGATCTCAATAGTTGTAGCGTACAGTGACCTGGTGTAAAGGATGGGCGACCTTGTTTGTAATTATTGACTGCCCTTTCTTTCCCCCGGATACTGCACACCGTCTACCTCCAAAGATTCTGCCAGAGGTGAACGAAAAGTTGGATGTTAGTAGTAACCGGTTTGCTCCGTCACTCTACCCGGTAGAACACACTTAGTTGGGGCAGGTATAACACAACCGGCGACCTGTTCGACCACCTCGCTCTTGCCACATTCATACGATCCCTTCATCTTATCTCATCTAGATTGTATTCGGGTCTTTCGTTAGACAGTCAACTTTGTGGTCAAATCCCGTCCAAGTACAACCCGGGAAGACTCCTCCAGCTTATTGTGGATTGTACTCATGAAGCCACACTTCGACTTGTCACAGGGCAGATGCATTCGTCGTTGTGAGAATCCTGTGACGACATAGATCTATTGATGACGTTTCACAACTTAAAACAATCCAGGTGTATCTACCTGAAGTCTGCCCTGGAAGGTAGATTTTAGCTATTGAAAAATTTTAGATGGATCACAGTCCAGAATTCTCGATAAATTGGATGAGATTGCACCAACGATGGTTGGAACAGCAATTTATGGCTCGATATTGCAGAACCTCGCAGTTGCACTTAGTGCAACAATGGAGGCAACTCTCAAGGTGCTGTCTTTTACAAAGAGTTCGACCGTCATGTATTTCTTCCAGAATGGAGCCTCAGACCAGTCCAAGGTCGTGCATTTCTCCGGTGTCAAGTAAGATTCACATATATCTAATTTGCAGTTCGGGCACAAATTAAGCAGCGGGAAGCACGAAGAGCCCTTTTGTGCATGTCGTTCATTTCTTACATTCTTGTACTTTACATTTCCTCTAGGAGTGCGCGTCTTCAAAGTTGTTTACACATGATTCGCATGTTTTAGACCCTAAAGACTCGCATGCTGTTCCGTTCTTTCTACGCTGCTGCTTTCCCACGAAAGTGTTGACTTGTTTTCCCCATTGAGGGTGTACCCAATCCCCAACATATCTCTAGGATAAGACCGACGAGTTGACAAACTGTCGAAATGTGGAACTAAACATTTCGACGACAATGATTATAACTACAGTACGAGGTTTCGACGGACTAAGTGGCGAGAAGACAAACGAATAAAACGGCGAGGTCACAACAACCACTCTTTAGGATTCTTGCATGCATCCAAAAGCTTGGCTTCTTCAGTGCCCTCCTCCGGGTGCTGCAATTACACGACATCCCGATAAGATCAGCATTAACACACTTAAATCCATCGATGTCCACACAAATAAAACATCTGGTAATACACAATTCGTCCCGAAAAGAATCCAGCAAGAGCTTAAATTGGATCTTACGTGGTCATACTCCCATCTCGCTGTGAGGGGTAAGGACATCAAAATGCTCTCAATTCGACCACCTGTTTGGAGGCCAAATGTAGTGCCTCGGTCGTAAACCTGTCCATGGAATCGCAGATGCAACGTCAGAAGCATTCATGCCCTCTAACTAAGACTCCCTTTGACCAGACATGAGAGACAAGTATATCTGTCAGCCCACCTCATATGGCTCAAGTTTCAACTTTCATTACGAGGGCAAATTTAAAGCCGGGCAGTTAAACCAACACGTACCAAGTTGAACTCCACATATCGACCTCTCCTGAGTTGTTGCCACTCCTTTTGTTCCTGAGTATACGCCATGTCCTTCCTCTTCTCTATGAGAGGAATGTAAGCAGGAATGACTGAATCCGCACAAGCTGTAATAAGAAAACAGAAACATTGCTATGTGAGATGTTGCTCTTGTTAACTTTGCTAAAATGACATAATTTACACTAACGCAACAATTACTATCAAATGCAGGGTTTTACGATTCGGACCATGCTACAACATGTGAGAAAAAAATCAGTACGAACTCATGCTCACTACTGCTCTCCGTTTTCCTAGCAAGCGTCACGTACGTCGACAGACTCCATTAACAGTAGGAAACAATACCAGTTGCGAATGCCAGTAATTCGTTGGGATCACGATCGTTGAGATCATCAAAGAAGATGCCTCCAAGACCACGTCTCTCGCCTCGGTGCTGATACGAGAGGCAAAGTATTTTAGTTTCAACGAGTAATATCAAAACCCCGAAGGGAATAAATGAAACCAACATTGATGGTTGAGACAAGGATCTCACCAACAGAGAAACCAGGACAATGAGAACTCGAAAGCAACAAAACCTTAAGGTAAGATAATCCTGTACGGAGAAGATGAAGTACCTTAATTAGGAAGTAATCATCGCACCACTTTTTGTACTTCGGGTAGAAAGCAGGATCAAACTTATCACATGCATTTTTTTGAACCTGTAGAAGGTGGAATGAAAGAGCATATCACTGCAACGATCAATGACACGACACCATAACTGCCTACACAGTCGGAGACATCGTGAAGACTGAGATACATTAGCTCATCTTTGACTAGCTCCGAGGCCGAATGGGGCATTTCACTGCTTCCAAAAGCAGGCCCTAATATGTTTTGACTATTTAGACATTCAAAACCGTGTAGTTCGAATCATTAGTGCCATGGGTTCATGAAAACACAGTCTTAATTTTCATCGTAATACTTAAATGGTAAATGGTTAATATATCAAGCCCGTAAATGGTAAATTAATACAAATTAAAGACATGGAAAATCATATGCAGAACGATAACAATGAAAGGAATCAGGCCCACTGTAACGAGGCACGAACCTGGTGAAAATGCTTAACATCCTCTTCAAAAAAATACGAGGGAGTCAAATCAGTGCCTCCACCAAACCACCAAGCCCGTGGGGCACCTTCCACACCTGCGCACTCATATGCAAGAGCATATTCAGAAAAATTTGCGATAGATACTCACAGCTGAGGAAAACTGAAAGATCAGGATATCCACTCCTTCTTTCGTCTATCCAGAGCTAATTCTAAGAACTTAGATCTCGAAACCTGGGAGTTAAAAAGCATTTAAATCACCTTCAGGTGCGTCAGTCTCAAAGTAGCGGTAGTTGAAGTGCACAGTGGGGGCCATGGGATTGATGGGATGCATAACCTGCACATTCATACCAAGGCCTGTCAGCTCATAGGTAATCCAACGCTTCACCGGAGAATTTGCAAGGTAGAAATGCTCATTGAATTGAAACGACACTAACCGAGCTCACTCCGGAGGCGAAAAAGGGAATGCGGCCAGGTTTAGTCGAGGCAGCTCCTGTGGCAGCTCTGTAAGCCTCCGGTGGCATGCTTCCATACACCACTGAGACATTCACCCCTGCCTTTTCCCAAACGGTTCCTCCCTGCATTGAAAAATAACTCAAACATCAGTCCAGTCTGAAAATTCAAAATTCTTTATCTTTCTGTGCTCATAAAAAATGCAGAGCCTGGCGCAGGAGACTTTTATAGCGGAACACAAACCTACCTGAAGAACGCGACTCACACCACCACCACCTCCGGGCCTGGACCAGGCATCTTCGCGAAACTTGCCTCCATCGATTGCCTCAACAGCAGCACATACATCATTTTGAATTCTAAAAACCATCTGCTCAAAGCGGGCGCGTAATCCATTCTTGTCGTCGGAATCTTCACCTTCTCTCAGCAAAGTGGTAGGCTTCTCGGACAACATACTCTCCTGCTCGATTCTCCGGTCCTCGGCAACGGCAGCAGACACGTGAAGTTTCCTTCCAGCAGTAGGCATTCTCTGGCTGATCCCCTTGCCATGAAGGCTCAAATCGGCACCCAAATCCAACCCCTTGCGCGCGGAACTGCTCGACACACACAAGGCCTTCTTCCCACAGGAAGAGGAGGAGCTCTTGGCAGCAGCAAAAGTACTCCGCGACCAACCTGCAGCGGAGGAAGAAACCGGCAGCACCTGCGAGGCCATTACGACGACCTCCATTTCCTCCCAAGCTGCTACAAATTCTCGTGTTGATAGATCGCTTCGGCTGAGTCTCGACAGACGGATCCTCTTCTGTCCGAAACCGAGAACTGGCAGACGCAGCTCAGGAGCGAGAGGGCGGGGAGGTGACGAGGATCCGGGAAGGGAATGGGGAATGGGTCCCGTGACACGTGGCCCGTTTTCATTGCCTGTGTTCCAGAAGCTATCAAACCCAGCCGAAAAAAAGATAATGTCATACTGCAGAATCGGTCCTGCTGTATTATCTTCATGCTCGTGCACTACAAGACCCCGTTTACTCGATATTTTTCTCTCACCAAGCACAATAATGTTATTTTCATTCACAGCACGTAATACTCGGAGATAGATAGAAGTAGGAATATCTCGGAAGATCATTTTTTCATTCGAACTCCATTCATTATTGACAATGATCAAACATAAAAAGGATCTGTTAACTCTTTTTTTAAACTGAAAAAAAATATTTGTCTTAAACAACATAAAACTCTAAAATGGGAATTTGAAATATACTTCAGCTTGCAATAATATCCACATTTTATACACATGTAGTAGAAAACACATTTATATTGACTCCTACTAATATAATTGAGATATAAAGTTTGTTTGTAAGCAATCCTGTAAACAGTATTCTCGACATAAATCTTGCTCATCACACTTAATTCTTATTCTAGCAATATGATGGTTGATGTTTAGCATGTATTTATGTATCATGTAGACATTTCATGAAAGGTAAAAAATCACTTCATGCTTGTGTGATGTGGATCGTGTTTGCAAGTGAAAATATTTATAAAATGGTAAATGGTAAACATTATAATTGCAAAACAATGAACTGTCTTGATTCTTCAAAGTAAAATCGATATGTTTCTGACTGTAAAATGCTTAAAAGATTTGAAAAAGTCTATGTAATCAATAGTTATATATGTGTTTGATCGATTCTTGTGCATTTTATTTTTTGGGAATTGCTAGGCACACACCCCCACTCCTGTGCATACATCCACTCGTCCGCAAAGCACATTTCTGCGTCAAAACACCAAAAGCTAAACATTTCTGCGTCGAAACATGCCAGCGCTTCGTCAAACAAGGGGGAAAGCTGTTTACGGGTCCAAACATGCCGGCGCTTCAGCAAACAAGGCGGTAACGCTGCATTTTTTGTTTGGAAGGTACCTAATTGGGAACACGTTTGAACGCGGATGGATCCCGTCGAGTGCTGTTGTCAGCTGGCGCTCGTCGTCCGCGCTCGTCCGTCCGCGGTCATCACTCTTTTGGGGGGGGTGTGTGCCTAGCAATTCCCTATTTTTTTAAGTAACATATTAACTTAAAAAAGGAATATCTTAAACTTGATATATAAAACGTGTACTTTAAACAAATTTTTTTACTATTGGATGAATTTTTTCTCAAAAACAAACTGAATATGCATAATAATAGATGAAATGAACTTAATTGCAATAGTTGCACTTTGTTGCAATATCTTATTTTTTCTTTCACTTGAAATAAACACAACATTGTGTCATTGAATAATGCTTACGGAACAATCAAGTTAAAATATAAAATAATATTGGTATGTTACTAAAGATTTAAATAATAAAATAAATAAATACAGTGTAGATAGAATAAAATTTGCTGGTAATATTTATCTTCTGATACATTTTTCTGTAACTTTATAAAATCTTGTAAACATAATATATTAATAATTTATGTTAAAATTATGCTATGATATTGATGCTATCATGAAAAAATATCTCTACCATTTGAATTAATTCTACATCTTAAAATAACTCAATTTAGTTTATGATTGAAAGATTGAAGATCAAAATATTTTTATTTTTTTTGGAAATATAGTAAATGTTTCATTATCTATGATATTTGATTATTATAATATTTAATTAAAATATTATTTTTGATTTTATAATGTGAAATTATGATATATTTTCATTACTAAGAATATTTGTAATTGATATCGATGGTAGAAAAATTAAGTATATCATATATGTCTTTATTTCTATACACATCGAATGATAAGTTTTCAAAGTCCAATAAAAAAGAAAAACATTCAGAATATAGACAACATTCCAACTAAAACACAGTTTATAAGATGTTGATAAATGAATTGTCAATAATGAAATTTGATCATGATCAATGTTATGTTATGAATCTTTGTAACGCATATATTTAAAGAAAAATAGACTAAAATTAAAATTTTCTCAATCAATTAAGAAGTCCTATGTATCTAGATAAAAAAAAAAAATTTAAAAATAAAATCATTCATAATGAATTAAAATATTTTTTTGGCTTCAATTAAAAATGTTTAATTTTTCAATGGATACAAACAAATTTAATTCAAATTGAAATTTTTTGAATGTTATGCTTAAATGATATGATCACATATTGTACTATTTGTGTGTAAATATGTTTTTCATATTTTCCATTTTTTTCCATCGTGCTAATTTAAATTCTTAGCATTATTAAATTCTAAATCTATTTTCTTAATTCAAAAGCAATTTTCACTAATCTCAATTTGAAAAGTTCTTAAGTTCTTTAACTCATCATTTCTTTCCTTTAGACAAGAGGAGGTTGTAGGGCGATGTTTGAAATCTCAAGTCGGTAGTTCTAGATTTGCTACCCTTTGAAATATTAGAGAAATGCTTCATAACGATAATCCAAAATCATTGATTTTGATATGTCATAACATCGACAAGCTTAATCCTAGTTACAAACGCAAATGCCAAAAGCTCATCTTTCTTATTCTATGAAGTCTTTATATGGTATGCAATTAGTAACATGCACTACATATTTTTTTCTGTGATCTCAAACTAGGAACAAAAACAAATGTTGAGATTTTCAAAGATATTTAGATATTGAACAAAATTGTGTTGTAAAGTAGAATATTCTCAAACATCAAATCTAAAAAAAAAATGATCTTCAATGATTAATTGAGCAATATTGTCCAAGAATAAATCATTTGTTAGTACTTGCAATTGTTGAACAATTTTAAGCCATCAGCAACTTTTCCTTGGCCTGATGTAATACTTTGTGAATGTGCTCCACAAACTAGTTGAATGCTGCAACTTTGATTGAAAACTTCTTTATTTTTGGAAGTTACATCAAACTTGAAATAGTATTAGGATGAGCAGCATACATGAACTAAAATGGAGAAACTTTTGTGTATGCATTAACATAATTGTTAAATGCAAATTTCACCAGAGTCAAAAGAGTGTTTCACTCTTCTTGTTTTTTTAATGTGAATGCTCGTAGCATATACTCTACAATTCTCTCTATCGTTTTCGTTTGTCCATCAGTTTGAGGGTGATAGGTCATTGAAATTGCTAATTGTTTTTGTTTTGAAAACATTAAATAAAGTTTTTCAAAATAAACTTATGAAGTGAATATCTGTATCACTGATTAACACTTTGTTTAAATCATGATTCACAAAAATTGCATCCAAATACAATTGAACTAGTTGTGAAGTTTTTACCGGTTTTGTAATTGGTTTAATGTGATACATCTTCCTCAATTTGTTCTCAAAATTCATCACTAAATTATGTTCTAAAGAAGTCTTTGGAAACTCACATATGAGATTCATGGTGACATGTATCCACTATTGTTTAGAAATAGAGAGATACTATAATAAATCAAATGGTTTTTGATTACTTGCCTTGTTTTGCTCACAAGCAACACAATTTCAAACATAAGATTTCACATACTTTCGTATTTTGGACCAATAGTACACTTGTTGTATGCTCTTCACAGATTTTTCCACTTTCACATTACTTGCAATGACTGTGTCATGATTTTTGGCCAAAATCATTGTGCGCAATTCTTGATCTTGTGAAATTTATATGCGTTACTTGTAGAATGTCAAACCTCAAGACTCTCTGTCTTTGTAGTTTGTAGTGTTTGAGTGATCTCTTCATACTTCTTTGTGGTTTGTGTCATCTGCTCCATCAATCAAAATGAATTTTTCAATACAATACACACGAGATTCAAACAATACATGTGTGTGAGAGTATCCGCAAGTTGCTTTTTGATCTCTACATACATAATCTTCATGTTGAAACGTTGATGTCACTCTGTCCATTGAATTTGTTATTTATATAGATCTTTTTTCCGTTTCAATATAAACCAAGGATTTATAATCAATTTTTACCACAAACTCTTTTATCACCCAAGTAATATTTTGAGTGTTTTGTTGCCAACAAAATGACTAATTTCTCTTATTCTATTATGTGATAATTTCGTTCTGCCGCCATCAATTTTTGAGAATAAAAAACAATCAGATGTTATTCATTATTTTATTCTTGTTGAAATATGTCATTCACTGTTATACCAGATGCATTTCTAATCAACTTGATAGCACGATTAGTATCATATCATTTGAATATAGGTGCGTGTAACAAAACATCATTCAATGTTTTAGAAACTTAACTCTTGAGATGTTTAACATCTTCATCTTTGACATTTTCCTAGCATGAAAGTCAAGGCAAGTGCTAGACGACCAAAACCTTTCAAAAATCTACAATAAAATCTAATGACAATTAGAATACTCTTCAATTGAATTTGATCCTCATGTGGTGTACATTTTTGAATGACTTCTATCTTCTTACTCATTACTTGGATTCTTAGCGCTTTAATTTTATGACTCAAATAATCTACTTTTGACTTGCCAAATTCACATTTTGAACCTTTAGCCTACAATTAATTTTCTCTTTAAACTTGAAATCATTTTTGTAATTGACGTCTATGATCATTCAAATTTTTGCTCAACATCAATATATCATTTAGAAAAACAATAACATATTTATCTAGGTAAGGAATAAAAATATCGTTCAAAAATTCCATGAATATAGCTTATGCATTAGTGAGATAAAAAATCATCACTAGATACTCAAAGTATCTATACCTAGTACAAAAAGCAACCTTGTGAATATCTTCATCTGCAATTTGAATTTGATTGTAGCCACTCGTCATATCTAGCTTGATGAAGTACTTTGCTCCTCAAAATTGATCAAATAAATCATGCATACGAGGTAATGGAATTCTGTTTTTCACCATTTGGTGTCTCAACCCACTTCAT